AGTCCCAACAGTTATGCATACCCCGACCTTCTCCCTTTGACCCGCTCACATTTGGGGTTTTAGGAGTGAGCTGTCCCTGTTTAAGTGACACCGGAACCATAATGTAGAAGAACCATGGTGGGATCGTGGGGGAGGGGAAGGGGAGCGGGGGCGTCGTTTATCTGAAATCAAGCCAAGTTGCGGTTGACCGTGCCTGAGATATGGTAGCTGAGATACACTCACCAAAGCCATATTGAACACGAACTGTCGGTTCACTTTCACGGATGAACTGCTTCAAATCGTAGCGACCATCAATGTTGTAGTACCTAAATGACATTTCGACTATTTCGTGAATAGATATACAGCGAGCTCCTGTTACCATGTCGGCTCACTAGGGATTTCAGTTCCAATCAATTGCTTGCTCCTCGGGTCAATAGTACCAACGGATCGGTGTGCAAGGACAAAATTTTGATCAGTGGCCACGGATGTTTTATAGAGACTCAAGAAGGATCGAAATCGGCATGTTTATACAACGTTGGGCGATTGAATCGATTGGTTTCTGAAGAAATAATTGGGAGTTTTGCGGACGTGTGGAACAGCTTCTCTATCCGCTGGCTATAATTACTCGAAGGTAAGCTACGGGATAAAATGTTCAGTAACGAGGCTAGAGGTGGGAAGTGGTCTGAAAAAAGGAAGTAAGAGACACCCCGGATAACTCCCCGAATAAGGACCTCCTTTATTTTGGCCGCATTTCACATTGGAATGAAGAAGGGGCGTGTCGACGAGTTTCTCGAACCTATCTGCAGTTGTTTTAATGCCAATGACATTGAACCGCAATGAAAACATTGATACACCCACGCCCGCGCTTTTCTCACAGCGTCACGTGGCAACCGACAGCGGAAGGCGGGGCTTGCGGACGAAGGTGTGGTTGCGGGTCGGACGAGCTTCCTGCGCCTTTGTCGCGCACTTTCAAGCGGCAAAAGGGGCGCGACATCAACGCTTGTCCGCCTGTCTACTACTCTCGGGATGGAACAGGTGAACATGCCTACTCCCGGACGTGCCTTTAATCGTATACCTCTCGATACTCACCATCTTCTGGAAAGATGAAACAGAGCAAAACCGCATAGGATGGAATAGCAGAGAAAAGCAAACATGCTGAGCGATCCCGACTCCGAGTAGATCATAAGCAGCTGAAAATAGTGATCAGAATTCACGGAGACGGACCTGCACTTAATTAATAGTTTGGCTTTTGAATGAAGGTAAGACTGGCGATCAAAGATGGGGGTAATCCATTTCGAATTAGAGGTTAAGGTGCTGAGTTCCTGGTAAGTAAGAAAAAGAAAATTCTCGAAGTAGACCTAAAAAAAGAACCCCTCTCCAGCAGTTTTGGATGAAGTTAGTATAGTGGCCGTTTCCGCTCGGTTGGGTTTCCCAAACTGTTATTGGCTCCTTACCAGAAATCCATGGGTTGGTAGTACATTGCAACGCGGATGATGAATTCGTAATAACTTCGTATCTTTATGTGTTCTTAGATGCCTTTAAATTCTTTTCGATTTCAGATCTAAAGCTCACGCTGGATGCCAAAAATTGATCACTGATCCTGAAGTTGGCTTTGCCAACAAACTGATCGGATTACTCAAGCTATCCATTGCAGAACGAAAAGGTGGCGCAACAGTGAGCCACACTGACAGTGAATCCTTCTAACTGCACAGGGCGTCGCAGTGATGTCATATCGTTCAGGATTGAGGTCAATCCTCGCGCAGTAGAGCTGTTGCCTGTACTGTGTACCTCGCATACTTTGTATTTCTCAGTTTTATTATCCCGCTGAGAAACTGTTCTGTTCAGATTTATGTATCCATAGGGCATTTATATAATTGAAATTGATTATTCGAGCAAGGAAGTTTGCGGATAGGAACGCCGACAGCACTATTGCTATGTACATGAATATTACGATTTCGGCATAAACAACAATCCAACAGTGCCAGCAAGTTTTGATATTTGACCCTCTTTTGTCGGGGCTGTATTGATTTTTGGCAATGTTGTAGTTACCAAGGGCGTAGTTATGGGAACTGACAAGGAAGGTCTTTCAGGAACATGAAGCGTTTTTTTTTTCAAAATGGCAGTTTGTTTGTTGCAGAGGATTAATGTGAGCGAACACAGAGCCGTGATCCATTTTTCCTGAACTCCCGTAGGAACATCAAAACAGTGGTGAACAGATGGTCCAGAGTTCGATCCCCGGTGATGACCAATGTTTGCAAATTACGTTGCCGCCATAGCGCCATTATCGAGAATAGATGTCACTGTCGTGTTTTACGGCAATTTGGAGGCGCCAGCGTAAATTGCAAGAATTGGTCATCACCTGGGATCGCACTCTAGACCATCGCATCACGACTGTTTGAACGTTCCTAGGAGGCGTTCCGTCCCCGCATGAGCCTCTGCAGTATGCAGGGAACCATTTAGAAAAAGCGCATCATGTCATAGAAAAGACTTCTTGTAAGCCAGAAAAGAGGAACCTAAAGAAAACGAAATGTTAAGATACCCCCTCCCTAATCCTAAGGCTCGGTACCGAAGAAAGGGGAGTAAGGAAAAGGGTGTTGGGTGTATGGGCTTTACATAATGGTGTCCCCTTTTGGTACACCAGCGTCAAATGTGCTCGAAGCAATCGGTGTATGTAGGATCAGTGATGTAGTGATTGTTATAGCTGAGCCACAAAAAGCTCAAATTGGGAACCGCTTCAAATTTAGTTTGCTGGACTGAGATCTGAAGAATGCTTGCTTCAGCTTCCTCTACCATTCATTTATTTTATTTATCTACTCTGTTAAACTCAAAAAGATTTTCGGATTCCAGGTCCAGAGTAGACGCAATATTCTGTTTGAAGTTATCCGTAAAAGATTTGCTGGTGTGTATTGCATGAAGCAGTAGATGTTGGCTGAGCATAGACTGAGAAAACCAAGAAGGGCATTAAAGCTGTCGGAGTAAGGCACCATCTGATAGCTTATTATCCGTCATATACGAGCCAGAAGAGAAGAAAGTGCGAGTGCGGTAAGGGGAATATTACGAAACAGGGTTCTAGTGAGGTTCTACAGAAGAGTAGGACCAAGGCGCTTTGGCAGGACGGGAGTGGGAAGGGGGACTACGGGTTGCTGCTGCAATGTATTCGAGAGTGCGGTTAACATTTTTTATCAGTTTTGGTACTATGTAGCTCAAGGGAAACGTGGTGGAGAGGGGAAAGAGCAGGGTGTAGGGGAATTTTCATTTTCCCCGAATTTTCTCCTCTCCTGAGCTTGTGCCTTGAGCCTTCCTTCCACTCCTCTTGCGATAGCGTCAAGGGAGGTGGAGGCGACACGTATCGGATAATGTCATTGCTCCTGACCCGAGCTTGATAATGTTGAATACTGGTGTGCAAAACTTAGGGACCGGAAGTAACTTTCACATGATATCCTGGTTGCTAGCTAACCTAGGTAGATCAAATTTGGCACATACATAGAAGTAAATGTTGCGATACAGTGCAGAGAGTTACTAGCCAGAAAAGCGCAACGGGACGATTAGAAAAGACATTTTTCTTCAAATACCCTGTCTGAAGCGGTCGATGGGTGAGGCTACTCCAACTCATGGTAGACATTCAAAGAGAGGAGCTGGTCCTTGATGGGGTGTATGAACACTACGGACTGCAAAGCATGCTCTGCCACATGCTCCAATACTGGCCACAACGATGTTTAAGAGTTCTTGAAGGAGATATCGAGTCCATTCGTTGGAGACCGCGAGCTAACAACTCCTGGACAGTTGTTGGCGAATGGGGATGCGCTACAATAGCTCTCCTGAATGAACGCCACATGATGCTGCCAAGAGAGTGTGACTGAGCAGCGAGAAAACTTCACAATCGCCCAAAATCCTCGCTTTTTCAAAAAGAGTTTTCCACAGCTGCTCGATTGCGCCTCGCACGTTTGGTCTCCGCTACGAGTGAAGTGAGATCAAGGCACCACTTGAAAAGATGCACTTAAGACGAATTCACGATTAGAACTAAAGGTCGAAGATAAGCGGAATCTGACCTAGTGAGGAACCCACGCAGCTATCTCGAGGCTAGTGCCCTATTCATTCGCATTTTACTAATCAGTCGTAAATCCATGCCTTTTGAGAATAAACTTTTCTAATTCCTTCGAGGGTGCGCTCTTATACAGTGTTTCCTCCTCAAGCTGGCGGGAGGGGGGTTGGCCGATCCCCTCGCCCACGTCATCTGATCACTCGCCGTAGGTTCAATATCTGGCGGGGAGATGTTTATCATAGCTGTAGGAGTGGTCGAAGACAAACGGAAGTGTGGAATGAGAGGCACAGCGATGAGAGTCACATCAATGCTCGAATCAACGGAGCAAGGAAGGGGTACCATTTCTCTTGTTCTGGGCCGTTTATCATGGTTCTTCCTTTTCGTGTACCCCTCACCATCCCTAGGTTAATTTGAAATGGGTTTGCTTTTTTCATTCGGGATTCGTGCCTTTAAAGTGAGGAGTATGGCGTCACAATAACAATAATAATAGAAAGCATTCCGCGATTCAGGAGCTGGGAGGTTGGTACGCCCTTGCAACTTTATGCCTCCCCACACCATATCGAATGGACTATCAAAACAAATCATGTTGAACGATTGTCCTGGGTGCATTACATGTTCCTATTCTCGCCACATGCGGATAAGTCCAAAATCACTACTACATCCAATTTGATCTTAACTGAGAAGAACACGCGATCATCCAAATCAGTGGTCCATCGCTAATGTCCCGACACCTAGCAAATGTTCCCGCCAATGCGCGGGTTTCGAAGGAACACCAGATACTGTTGGTCGGTCAGAGAGACCATGCCTATACGGTCACTGCGCCACTGTTCAGCCTGGGATTACAATCCTGATAAGTGTTTCTGCAGCTGTAGCCTGTGTTAATTCTTGCCTGCTGCAAAACCTAGCAATCATCTGCTGTTGCAGTTGATCGTGATCCACCACCAACTCTTCAGCAGTGGCTGCAGTCCATATTGTGCACAAAACAATGGTGTGAGCAACATCAAACTCCTGGACCACACTCGTTACAAATCTTCCTTCTTCCAGTTTCCCGGGGATTCTTCCTCGCGTGAAGTCACCCTCGTGTTGTCTCTGAGACTTGCTGTAATCAAGAACACCACTACATTCCACAGTAACTTCTCCCTGCTCAGTACACTCCCTCTTGTCCTGTCCCACCAAACCCTCGTTCTGCGTGGCCACTCCCTTTTGGCTCCAGATTGAAGCCGGACCGCTGATATATGAGGCCCACTTCCATGCCCATGACTGTAAGGCTTTAGCATTATGCTTGCACAGTTTCATCCAATTCCATCGAATTGTTAATAAGTTATGTCAATTTATCCATCTCGTCCTTAAAGGCAAAAGTCGGGCTCAATAAGTGGATATTATGGCGACTGAAACTGGACTATATAGACGCGTCGTTCGAGATTTTGAGCGTGGGAACATCTGTACGGGTGCGTAACCAAGTACAGACATGACCGAAAGGGTTGGTTAGGTCAACTAATCCCGACCTTTGCCTTTAAGTTTTGCATACCAATGTATTTCTGTCAAACGCATACCTCAATAATGCAGCACAGCGACTGAATACCTCTAGAAGCGCCAACCAGAAAAGGCAAGTCATAGTTGTCAAGCGACAGTCCACTGGCAGGCGGCATCTGAAATAAGGAAAGGTGCACCAAGTGCAGAAAAATTAAGCGTGAGCATAGTTCATTGACTAAGAAGGCGTGAAGGACCTATGAAAATAAGAGAGAAGATTGACACCTATTGTTTAAAGAGCCTACAAATCGAACTGCAACTGAGGTTTTCCCCAGGGTTTTTTTAACTGCAGTTGTGGTAGGGCTACTGGCGCTCATGTCCTTGGGGGATACATTCACTGTGACCCAAAACCCATCACTGTGCTTGACGAACAATAATCCTTACAGAAAGCATCTGGGAACTGCAACAATATGTGTTTTCCTTGCGTTTTCTCCCGTCTCAGTCCTAACCATCGACCGTGGCATTTCCCACTTTTCCACGGCAATAAGCGCCGGCTGTTATGATCATTGTTCCGCTCTCATCCGGCCACATAAACTTAGGAGCTCACCTGTAAGCAGGCCAACAACTTTCAGTCCATTTGTGAAGGCCGAATGTCGAAAGCAGCCCACTCTGACTCAAGTGTGATCGATCAATTCGGAGCATTCGTGGTTCAAAGGAAGTGAACCTAATGTGCACAGACCTATAACAGGCTAGCTCCATGCGTGCAATCCTGTGATGACGTTTCTGCATGTCCGTTAACAACACTAACCGACAACGTGGAAACGGTGCCGCCTCCAAAATTTCGCCATTTGCCTAAAAATAAATTTGATTTAAGCTCGTATCATAACGCTTGCATTCGTCTATCGGAGCTACCTCGGGCTGAGATCAAAAAGCATAAGCGTAAATCAATATCTGCATCACGAACATAATAATTCAATAAACCGAGACTGAATCTCTATTGATAATGCCGCCCGACTGTTCTTGCGATGAACTGACGAGAGTTGAGCAGTTTTCATTCTCCCCTAAATTGCTGCCCCTAATAGCCTTAGTCCTACAGGACGCCCCGTGTCTATTGCGATAGCGCCAAGTCAGAGGTCGAAGTTCCTCTTGGAATCTGTAAGCCGTTTAAAGGAAGTTGAATAAAGAACCAACCACATTTGAACCGCACAAGCAAACGACTCCGACCTGGATGAATCAGTCCGATAGATAAGCACACGTGATATGCTCAAGCTAACTACCTCGAATGAATGTCATGCGAAGTAGGGAAGGTTCAGCCTTATCACAGTGCTTCTCATTCAGAAGGAAGAAAAGCTCCTTCATTCCTACTGATTAGCTTCGTTCTTGAGTCACTTTTGACACCTTGAAGGGAAATCTCACTTCTTTTCTGAATGAACATATTAAGGAGTGGGTGGGGGTGTGCATAAAAGAAGCTAAAGCAGATCACCAGCAGGTGAAGTTTTCCAGTTGAAATAGGTGAAAGAAGTTCTCATTCACCTGAAATGTACAGAGCGCTCAAGCAAATACTATTACAGGTAAAATAGGAGAGTAACTGTTGTAATTCCGTCATAAGGTCTTGGCAAAAAGGTAAGCTCCCTTCGGATATCGCCAATAATTGCGGCTTTGAATGCAGGCGTTTCTAATGGCTCTGGTGATAATCAGAGCGTTCAAAGTTATGAATAGCTCTGCATAGATTCTTGCCTTTGTCTAAAAATAACATACTGCTGGACGCAAAGTGAATGATACTATGTAACAGGTGTTGTGTTTTCATCGCAACATTCCCCACCAATCTACTCATTGTACACCCGAGAGTTTTTCTATAACCAAAAAGACTGCACATTGTTGACAGAAGTCGGAGAAGAACTTGGACAGATGTTTTACGGGAATATCTCCGTCACCGAAATCATTCTTGTCTCTCTCTTCTCTTCAACCAAAAAATTTCGCGTACCACCCGTTTACTACTTTTGACGTGACCTTCAACAGCAAGCGCCGGGCTCAGCCTCACCGAATTAGTCTCTTTAGTGGATAGAGGTGTGTGGCGCGCCACTGTAGCACCACCTTCACACGCTGAATCGCGCTAACCAGGGGGGAGCAAGCCGCGCTTTTTCAAAACGGTTTTTTGCATATGTAGGAACCCATGTAAAGATCACAAAACCATGTTTCATTTTCGCTGAACGGCCCCTGAAGGCCAAAAAGGGTCGAAAAAAATTGTTGAGAATGGGCGGTTTTTACAGCTTTGGAGTGACGTTTCGGACTTGTACAGAAGATCACCTGCATATTGAAGGGTGCTGATGAAGATGGTATCGAAAACAAGGTGAAATTCGCCAAAAATTGAAGTACTGTCAGTGGTAGTGCTGGAAAAGTGAGAGGTTTCATAAGCGTCGTCGGCATCTTACTATTAGAAGTAGTCTGGTGGTCAAGTGGATAGCATGGTGGCATCGGATTGGCTCGGCAGAAGGGGTTTTGTGGTTCTGCTCCGCTCAACGACAAACTTTTGCATTTTGATTGTCACCTCCAAATCAGCGCCAAATTGCTTCAGCGTCAAAATTAATGCTATATTCACAATCAGGACCATCAGCAGCCCCTGCAAATGGGTTTACTATCAAAAACTGGCAGAATAAATCTGCAGCGCCAAACTGGCGCCGACGCCAAAAAAACGTACGCCGAGTGATCTGTGATCAAACACCATGGCATGGCTCAGTAGTCCCGAGCAAAATTTCGACCAAATCGAGATTTTGCTCTAACTTCGAGAAAGAGATTGACCATGGGCTGAAGTTTTCATGCACGCCAGCGAGCGACTTGAAGACGAGCGCGTTACGGAAATCACGCGGTACACCCTGACGAGCGCGGAATCCGGAGCACGGTATTATAGGGAACATCTTCCACCGACGCTGTCCTTGAAATCACTCCACCTATGTAGACGAAGTCTTACGAGTGGAAGAGCCGTCTACCCAACACGTCTTGAATATGATACCTACTTATAGCGCAGGTGCTATTTGGACAAAATTGGAAGCTCCAACCTAAATGCAAAAATTTTGTCATCACGGGGGATTGATCCTTGGACCATTTCCTCACCACTTTTTGGCCTTCACGGGGCCGTTCAGCGAAAATGGACCTTGGTTCTGTAGTCACGCATGAGTTCCTATAACATGCAAAAAACCGTTTGAAAAAGCGCGGCTTGCCCTGAACGACCTCCCTTGTTAGTAAGACGCAAGGCCCCAAATACTTTGATCAACTCCCACCAAAAGTATGAGAGTCCACCAACCGGTCGACAACTTATTCGCCTCAGAATGTCCATTTGCTACCCACTCCCTCTACTCGGACTTCTTTACACTCTCTGCAAATCAAATTGTCTCTCTCATCTCCTGCCTGCCTCTTACGACTAGACCTCTCCGCAGCGTAGAGCAAGATAGCTTCCTATTTTGATGTTGTTTTTCACGATTTTCATCCCATTTTCTCCACTTACGCTCCACCGGAGTATGATGAGGGGACGTGTTTTTATGAAACGTAGAAAAATATTATACAGAATATTTAGTCTTTTCCTTCTTACTATTGCTCATTTCAGTGGTCATATATATGTACCACACCCTTCCCATCCCCACTAGAAAGGCTTTTTTTGGAATTGGACGAGACTGGAGTTCGGTAGAACTATCATAAACATGGTAGGACACTGATGGTCGCTCCCGGGTCCGGGGTTCTGACAAAGAACATTTTCTTGATCATGTTTTCTTCCGGTAAAACACCCGCGATCGATGTAGCAACATTCCGTGCGGAATGGGTGCATTTATGTGTTGTTACACCGGAATCTTCTGCAGGTTCAAAAATCGATTCCTCACCAGGCAAACGAAAACAACGCGAAAAACCAGCGAAATTTTGTTCCGTAGGAACAACCAGGTGAGGGTGGTGATTAAACATGCATGCCGATGGCGTCCCATAACGACTGCTCGGGTCCTTCGTGGGACGATGGCAGCCCACATAAAATGCCAATGAGTAACTGTTATGTACCGCAGCCAAAGTCATTGGCCTGGTCCCGCGCAGGTCAACCGTCCATTCGCACTATTCGAACGAGGGGTCGCATTTGTGATTTCGGGAAAGGGGGGTCAATATGTGGGGTTGAGCGAGGTTAATGCTCTGTGGAGAAGTGATAACGGAGGTAGTTAAAAGAGGAACATTGGGGGAACCTTCTAAGGCTGATGTTGGTGATGGGGATTCGCGAAATTTTTGAAAAGTGCGAACTCGACAGTTGACCCTGGTCTAGCTTTAGCGGACGGTACAGCGATTGTGATTATGTGATTATCAACGCACAAACCAGTAATCACACGCCATTTGATAATAACATAAGTTATTCGAATATTTCTGGTACCAACGAAATAACCAGGGCCAGCGGATAGCGATCAATGATATGGCCTATGGGAAGATTAGATATGCTTTGTTTTGAGAAAGGTTTTCTGAGCATTTTAAGAAATTTTTGCCTCGACTTGCTCTTATTTCCTCTCTTTGCCATATATATCCCTACTATATATAATTCGCTAAGTATGTCTGTGTGGAGTGTGTGTGTGTGTCTGTCTGTACGTACGTCCGTCTGTCACGAAATTCATAGCGCGCTTCGCTGCAGGCATGGAACGCTGTATTTTGAGTATGGTGTAGGGGTGGGACGGCAACATATTTGGTGGGGTTTATAAGTGATACCGACTGATAAGATCTGATAAGAGGCGCTGAAACGCAAATTTCACGAAATTCATAGCGCGCGTCCCAGCAGCAGTGGGGCGTTGGTTCCAAGAAGTGATGTACAGGGTGGGACGGGAACATGTTCGGTGGGGTACAGGAAGTGATAAGGGCCGATAAGGGCCGATAATTACCGATAATCACGATATTCGTAGGAACATAGAGACCATTTAAAACCATATTCTAGATAACAATATCATCTCATTTTTGTCATCAACATAAAATACCGTTCGACCGCTAATTCCCAAAGTCCCTAAGAATGTATGATGGATGTTTAGCGATATACGATAATGGGTATTTCTATTGCAAAATCATTGGCATCAATATTATTCGACCGCTAAATCATCCTGACATCCAATGCATGGTGGCTGTTTACAGACACCACTTTAGCTCCGCACTCCACCGCGCGTATCAGACGGTTGGCTTAAAAATGGGCATTCTGTGGAAGGCCAGCTAACGCATTTCACGAAGCAAGTTATTGTTTAGCGGCGGAACCTAACGCTCCGCCGGCTGGCCAGCTTTACGGAGCCCTTCCGTGTCATGCACGCGGTAGTGTGCGGAGCTAATTATACAATTGCTGCAAACTACGACACGTAAGACCGCCTGGAAACTGAATAATTGCAAAAAAACACCAATAAATCAGTAAAAATCACTGGATTCTTTCTCATACCTAACGTTTCAGGTCCTAATTTATAGCAATTTTGAATTCGAGGCCAAGGAGAGGAATTGGGAGATTTGAACGCTTTCTAAAGCGTATTTTATTTTTTGTGTTTAGTGCTGAATATTATTCTTTTAGAAAGCGACATTTTTGCTTGTATCGTAAGGTAAAG